CCGCTCTGTAAACTCCTGGAGGCCACGCAGCATTTTTTAGTAGCAAAATGTATCCTTGTTTCATTTGGAAACATTTCATAAATAAGTTATATAGGACATGTAGCTGTTTGTTTGGGCTATTTCCTCTTAGGCCATATGTTTGTTTACATTTCCACCTTTTTACAAGATCCATTTATATATGATTATTATATTTACTTAGCAAACAGTCATGTTTGATGTCATTTTGACAAGGATCTAGTCTATATATAAGAATTAAATAGGATCTTTTTGTATAACAGTATTTGCTATGCTACAGAGCAAACCATTTTAGATAAAACGTGTGTAAATATTTCAGATGGATGTATAAAGTTTGATGGTTGATGTATATTGTTGGAGAAGATTGTATTCTGCTTTATTAGAGTTTATATAAAACATGAATTTTAAATGGTTTCACTGTCATTTATTCAAAACAGAAACAGGACACACACTTCACTTCCAGCTTCCAGTTTGCTTTTAAGTTTTTGTATTTGGACATTTGAGAAACACTTCTCATTGCACTGCTTCCTGTCAAATTCTTCGTTTCATACCAGGAGAGGATGCATCATCTCTTTCGACTCCACTTCGAGCGTTAGAACTATTAACGAAGCACTTATATACTAATAAAGGACTGGCTTATCTATAGCCAGTTGAGTAGCACTTGAAATGTTTGGCTCTATGAAACCTGATGTACTTATATGATTCTGTTTTCTTCAAGTTTGTGTCTTCCTGGTCGAATGTACTTATTGTAAGTCGCTTTGGATAAAAGCGTCAGCTAAATGCAATGTAATGTAATGTAATGTAGCGCTTTCTCTTTTTGCTTTTGTTTTCTCCCCTTCTTCCAGCACATTCTCTCTGTTCTTCCTTTGTCCCATCTGTCTTTAATCTGTCCAAAATGTTCCTGGACTCTAATTGTAACTTATCCGCCTCCACCCGGCCCTCCCTGCAGAAACAATGAACAGCTCTGCTCCAAGATTGTTCGGTTATGAGTTCAAATAAGTAGCCGTGTTAAACAGAGGAAAAACAAGTACTTTAGCAGCCAAGAATAAAGTGATGAGGGGAAACAGTAAGAAGAAAACAAAGTGTGTGTGTGTGCCTGCTTGTTTCTTTAAAGCTGTATGTGTTGGGCCTCAGTGTGTGAAACGTGAACACATGAGCTGCCTTTATCTCCTCATTATCGGTGTAGGAAGTCTCCGGGGGGGGGTGTTTCGTTTGGAGGACAGGACATGCGTTGGCAGAGCCGTTACAGCAGCACACTCATGCCTGGCTATCACTCTCTATCTCTCTGAAAACAATAACACACCAGCCGTAATCTCACAAACACACAGACCACCTGCATGCAGCTCCGACTGAATACTGGGTAATACACATGATCCCAACTAAATGAAACTGGGCAGCAGAAGGGATCGAGCGATTACCTATCAGCTGTTGGGATTGTGTCTGCAGCAAATACAGAGAAATCACAACAGTATGAAACACAGGTGGTCAAACTGCCGCTTCTACTGGATTTAATCAATAACCGAAAATGTTGTATTTACTTCATATTTTTTCAGATTTAAGTGCAGTTCTTGCTACATTCAAAGCGGCCTTTGATGTCAGTTTGTTCTTGAAAAATACAGTAACAGACTATTATACTTTTTGAAGCAGTTCATCCATCACAGAGAACCTGTTTTCGTTATTGATCAATATGTTTTTTTGGTATCCTATATAAAGTATCTTTATTAATCAACTTTTTTTAAGTTTTAAGTGTTCAGACTGCTTGTTCGTGTAATCAACAGTCAAAACCCCAAAAGTGCTCAGCTCACAATCAAAAGAAACAAAGAAAAGTATCACATGAGAAACCAGTGAACAGATTATCAAAGTTTAACCTTTAGAAATAATCAAATTCACACGAATGTGTTAAACCACTGACGATCTCAGCCCTAACTAATAACTAATAGAAACTCAGACATGTAAGACATTAGAGTTGACGTAAAGACCAACTTGTTTTAAGATACTGTCTAATGTAAGTCTCAAATCTATTCATAATTTCATTTTGAGTCTGAACTGAAAGTATCAAAAATCAGTGGCTGACTAAAAGTATGAGAACTAAATCTAGATTACTTTTAGTGTAAGATTAGTGGCAGGGATTAGTATGTACTGTACTTCTGGTTAATTGGCTTAGACAAAAAAGTACAAAAAAACAGTTTAAAGACTGGGACTAAAATTAAAATTGTTTTCTTTAAATTTGCAACAAAGCAGAGGCCCAAGCTCGCCTCTACCTCAGAAGAATGTTTTCATCATAAACAGTTTTCAAAGAAAACAATCTTTTATTATTGTGGCTCTGAATTGTACTGTATGATGCTATTCAAAATGACTTATTATGAAAGTCAGATTTAAAGTTTGCCAACATGACAAATGTGTGATCTGGAGTTTCCATTTGCCCGGTATATGATTGCAACAGTGTAAAGCAATCTACTTCCCTGTTTGCAGATCAGCGAGGAAGTGCCATGAAGCGAGCAGGAAAGAAAACAGTTTGACACAACAGAAGAAATCACCACAGTTTTATCACTTTTCCTTACATCACTTCACTTCCTTGTTTCTCTGAACCCCTGAAGACCTGGAGGAGGCCCCTGGATGTAAGATAATACAAACCAGAAGTAGACCTTTTCCTCTTCTTCGTGCAAGTTACACCACTGAAAATGACAACATTATGTGCACATTTGGTCTATAGTTGTACAATGACAGTATACATTAAAACACTGTAAATATTTACGGAGCATTTTCAGTCTCAAATGTAAACCAAAAACGACCATCAGCTACTGAATAATTGCAGCACAATTTCCTTTTATTCATTCGTAATTCAGGTTCAAGGTTGCCCTTGAAAATCATCTACTTGACGTTTAGCCTCCCACCTGATACGTCCTCCAGAGGAGTCACAAGTGAGAGATATGTTCTATTACTAACATGAAACACATCATGTATCACTCGTGTTGTAAGGACGTGACTCAGTGTGTGTGTGTGTGTGTGTGTGTGTGTGTGTGTGTGTGTGTGTGTGTGTGTGCGTGCGTGCGTGCGTGCGTGCGTGCGTGCGTGCGTGCGTGTGTCCCACAAGTTTCCATTTAGTCAATTTGCACACAGATGAAGTTGGCTTTTCACATTGGACATGTAGAGTAACTACGAGAGAGCCTGTAAAATGCCAGATTGCAGTTCTGTTGAAAATATTACAAATATCTGCAAAACTGTAAAACAATCTGGTGTATTTCCCATTTTCCCCTATTTTTTTTGCAAATGCACGCTATCATTGGATTATTTATGCTTTATTAAATAGTGGTGTATTGTGATCTAATGTGGGAGAGGCCAGATGTTTATTATGACAAAGAAATGACTTTGCTAAATTGTGATGGCTTCAGATTGTTTTCATTGTTTCATTATGTCTTTCTTCAGAAATGTTAACCCTGTTTTATAGTTTAATAATTTACTTAATTAAAACATTTAACACATTATTAACACACTGTGTGTTCTCCCTCACATAATTCTGAGCCAGTTTGTGATAACCTGTAGTTATCATTATCACTATCAAAAAGTAAAGATAATTCAGAAGATCGTGTGTAATGGCAATACAATATTTCTAAGAAAGTATTTCTAGATCCTGACAAAGAAATTAGTCAGAGGCGCCCCCTACTGGACAATCTACAGTATTACATTTACTGCACTGTGTGGAGACACCTTTTGGCCAGCTTGAACAAATATTGAGTATTTTGGAGTACAATGGAAACAGCGTACATTTGTATAATGTGTATCCATCTAACCAATTTATTTTTATTCCAAAATAAGGAGGAACAGACAGACAACCCTGAGCTCTACAGCATCGACTCGGGCTGCTGCAGGTGTTTCAGTCTCCCTTCAGGTCCTGGCAAGTAGAGTTTTTATTTGTTCAACTGGGTGCATCAGCTCTATCCAAATGCTTTTCTTTCTTTGTCTCACTCTCTCGTTGGTTCTCCCCCACACATTATCCTTTGTTTTTGTAGGTTGGGACATTCTAGATGTTACATAGACCTTCCACTCTCTGTTAGATTGTGTGATCAAACTGGTGTGATAAATAAGAAATGTATCATATATTAGTTAAGCATAATTTTCACCAAACATTGGTTTTGCGTCATTCAAGCGGTAGTTTATTAATGGTCACTAAGTGAAACCCTGTGGATGATAAAGCAATAGCAAGATAGAAATAAAGCTTATGAAGCCACGATGACACACACTCAAAAGGTGCTGCGGCTGGTATAAAACAGAACTGAACCGCAAGGAAGTGTACTGTAAGTTGAGAAATTCAGATTTTTATACCATTGTGTATTGTTTTATATAAAAAAGACACGTTAGAAGTTAGAACACAAGTGGAAGTCTTATAGTTTCAAAAGCAAAGTGCTCGATAGGTTATCTTCAGTGCACTTACAGTATGTGCCGTATCCTGCCTTATATTAATATCGACACTTGACTTGATTTCTTGTTTTGTTCTCTGATCATATATATATATATATATATATATATATATTATATAAAAAAAGTATTGAAAGAAAGAACAAGGTCAGATCAGTTATACAACGGTCTCATGGTTTAATAAGAAATATATTTGTTCCCCAGTTAAATGCTTATTTCTCCAAAAGAGAAGTTGTGTATGCTTGGCCTTGTGACAAGTACAACAACAACAACAACAACAACAACAACAGTTCCCTATGGGCCTCTTTAGGAATTCACGGCTTTGAGATACTGAGGTTAACTCTGGGAATGGTGAGTCAATGAACTCAGCAGCGTTGCCTTGGTGATAATGAGCATATCACATGATAGAAGACCCATTCAGTGTGTCCCTAAACAGCAGCAGTGTTCACGTCTTTGTGCATTCAAAGGGGTCTGTGGTTAATCTCCAACATGACTGCCTGCAGCGTGGAAGTGAGGCAGTTAGAGACTGAAAGCACACAGACAACAAAAGAGTGACTGGCTAGCATGGGTTGTTTTCATATCACTTCTTTATTGTTGGTTTAATAGAAAAAATGTGTCTCTTTTGATACAGATTCGAAATTACTTCCACAAAGAAAAGAAAAAAACACAAAAAATGACATTAATTTCTCTAGCAGCATGACTTAATTGTAGATTTTGTGGCGTCACTGGCCTTGTTAGAACATTTTGTAAAATGACTAAAAACAAGAGTATGTATCTATATAAAAAGGTATAGCTTGTGCAGGAAGGACAGAGCTTTAAGAAGTGAAGAGAGGCAATAGAGGTTTAACTGCAGCAACCTTAGAGGTCTGGAGAAAGAAAGTTTAGCAGAGCCCTGCAAGGAAATATTACTCGTATTTCTGATGTAAGGCTGTGGGAAGGGCCAAGAGTCGCCATACAGAAATATATCACTAAACAAAGTATTTATAGCTGTGATCGCCGAGATAATGAATACAATATATAATACAATACAAATGAAAGTGATGACTGGTGTTGTTGCTGGAGGTGGCCCGTAGCAGTTTTATGAGGTGTTGGACTTTTAGCTTCATGATGTACAGACCCTCAGCTATCCTGTTTCACAGAGTGTTACAGTTTCAGGCAGAGGGGAAAGCACAGATTGAGGTCAGAGGGCATGCCACGTTGCAGCGTAGAATAACAAGGATCAATATTGAAGTCATTTGTTTTGAATTTGTATTTTCTGCCAGAGGAAATCTAATGTAATGAGACTGAGATGCCGGGTTTGTTTTCTGGCGACTGACCAAAAGATATCAGCAGTAAATTCAAGCAAAAGCGAAATGAAATGAAGCGTTATTTGATCAACACCACACACTGATTGGATCGTAAATATGACACATGCTGATTTGAGTTAATTCAATCTATTTTGAACTGATCTTAAAAGAATGTCACAACTTAAGAGACTAAAAAGTGCCTGAATGTGCCTCCCTGTACCTCTGACCTGCAAACTGTTCATCAAAGGCAAGAAAATAAAAGAAGAATGTAGAAATGTTACATTTGACCAATTTGACTGTCAGGGACTTTCTGAAAGTCAAACAAAAAACATTCTAATTGGAAAAGACAGTCCAAGACATTACATAGTGTTAGCAGTTTAAAGTTTAGGTGAGAAGTCCAAGTAAACTTCATGGTTTTTAGAGTTTGACTTGTGAAGTGGTCACAGGAAGTGGACCGCGAGCCCAGCTGCATAGATGAAAAGACTTTGGCTAGCTAAACACTGGATCCATAGAAAACCATCCGGATGTTTTGTATCATTCTTCATTCATTCAGCTCCTTCACTTTTATATTTCAAATCTGAGCAGACAGACCAACTCAACAGTTTCCAGTAGTCATTAAAGAAGTGAATCACTAAAAACACTAACCCAAAAAAAATCAATTGTTTGAAACAAAAAAACAGTTAAATGGTTATTTTAAAAAAACATTACAAAGTATATAAAGTACATATGTTTATACACGTCAGAGTTATTTTTACAAGAAGAGCACTCAGCTGGTTATGACCCGGAACTGCGTGAGACTAACTCATCCAACGTTAACAATGACTACAGAGAAAGAAAAACAAGTAAAATAGTGATTAAAAAGACAAGTTAAGATCTGAAAAATGAACTCTAGTCTTAAATCTACATCTGGTTGTTCAGCTGGTTCAGTTAATGTAAGGCATAGGTCACTGCTGATTAAAATGTCTTGCCTCTAGTCCTCGTCTCATCTTCAACAGTGATGTCAGGCTGCTATCTAACAAGGTCAAGACACAAACACACATTGAAAAAGCATACAGGTTCACAGTGAAATTACAAAGAAAACTCAATTATAGTCAATATTGTTGGGACAGATACGTTCTGAGCGTAGTAACACATAGGCCTCCGATAAGGCGGAGGAAGTAGTTTTGACAGATTGTGGGACTTTAGGGGACACAGGCCTCTGGTTTGACAGAAGTGACTTGGAGCAGTAACAAAACTAAAGTTAGAAAATGAAATGATTATCGAACAAGCAAATCTTTTATACAATTTCTGTAAAAACTCTGTCTTTATAGTGTGGTCGGAAATGTTCCAATCATCTTAGGTCCATAGGTTTTTTTCAGATTGTCTTTTTATGCACTTTTTTATAAGAATCATCTCCTGCAACTTTTTTAACACAAGCAGTAAATAAATTGAATTTCACAGTTTTCAATTATTTATAAGCAGTGTTCGAACAGTTACTTTAGAAATGCCAAAGGTTACAGATTACAGTTAAATCGATTTAATAACGGATTACTTTTTTGAAACTGGGTAATAAGCTTAAAACAGCAGTGTAAACATCAATACTCATTACCGTTGCTCCTCTTTTAGAAAGTTATTCAATGTAACATGCAGTTGTAAGAAAGTAAATTATTTGTTCAACATACATTTTTTTGGAGGAAAACGATTGTAATAACAATAACATTTTGATAAAAAAACGTAATTCTATTACATAGTTTTCTCTGAATGTAATACATTATATACATTTTATAGTTTAATTACATTATATGTAACTAGTTAATCCGCAACACTAATTTTTAGGAGTAATGTATTTTGTTAAATAAAAGCACTTTATTGTATAAATATAATATTATATAAGCACTTTTATTTTTAAGATTGAGTAGGGCTCAGAGTTGCCAGTCCGATTACTGTGAGCTCCATGTTCAGGTTAATGTGGCTTTAATTGGTTTGGAGGCTGATGAGTTTCAAACTCAAACTGTGTAGACATATATAATACTACTTCGCATGGACATTTCAGTACGACTACCTTTTGTTCCTGTCTCACTTCGTCAGTCAAACTAGAGGTCTGTCTCTTTGTTTTCTTTCAGGAAACATTAAACCAATTTGTGAGTCTACACCGATTATGGTTTAGTGTCTTTTTGTTTAAATTAGTTTAGGTTATAAGACATGTATTCAACTCCATTTCAAAACAGACAGAGAATAAGGCTGTCTTAAAGACAAGCAAAACAAAAGCCACCAAAGACGGAGGTAGAGGTGAGAGAGTAGGAATGCTGAGCATCAGGAACAAAGGGGCAAATGGATAAGGCAAAATAAAGAAGAAGGATATGGATTACGCATTAACTGTTATATTATAGGAAATGGAAGTTTGACATTTCCACATTTTTGTGGTTTCAAAATGAAGTTTCTAAGGAAGCGATAGTGATTGAAAACAGGCATTTGGCAGCTTTGTGCTCTGAGACCACTACACAGAAATGATTAACTAGAAAGAACCTGTTCAACTGGTTTTGCTGAGGATTATTGATTGCTGAGGTATTGATGTATGTTTCCTATTCAGAACTGGTTTTCCTGTAGCCCCAACAACTACACTCAGCAGTGAGGTTTGTGTAGCTTTCAGGCTCTTCTGTAACACAAGAAGCCGGGTGAGTGATGGCAGGGACAGCAAAGAGGGGGATCGGCAGAATGGCACCTGAATACCAGGGAGTCTCCGTTCTTTCTGTGTACCAACGCCCCGCTCTGCTACTCAGTTAAGCATTCAACCACAGAGTGTAACTCAAACAGTCAATTATTGCAGCTTACTTCACATCTGTCCATTAAAGTTTATGATTCAAAAAACATATAGTGCAGAGGTAAGTGGTCCAAATGTTTATGAAACACAATAGCTGCAAACTGTCCTCTTGAGTTTCATTACTGCCAACAAAGTGAGTGTCTACCCTCATGACTAAAAATGTAACGAAAGCAGCATATTGAATTTATTATCCGTGAAATGGTCCGATGAGGACTCAGTCCATTTGGCAGCTTTAATCTCAGTAGTCCCCTCTCATCAACAAAGTGTGACATTGTTACTGCCTTTACTTTTAAAACTGCACACGCACATTCCCACAGAGGAAAGAATAAACTGATACGAATCTAAAATAAAAAGTCTATATTACCAACAGCGTCTATCTCCATTTAGAACTGCATGATTCCAACAGGAATACAGTGTGCACAATACAAAATCTACTGTGAAATATTTTCCGTAACAAACGTATTTTTGTCTAGCACTCAGATGAGTTGAAAAAACACATGCTGAGAGTTCAGGCTGTACTGACTCGCGAGAAGATTGCATCAACTGTAGTGTTAACTTCAAGGAATCCAGGCAGCGGATGCACAGCTCTCACAACTCCCCCCTCCCCCGCTGACTGCACAGGTTAAACTGCAACAAGCCGCCAAGTCACTGACCTAAATTCAATCCGTGCAAAAATATTTAACACTCCACTGTGAATCAACAACTGTTGCAATCCCATCTGACTCCCATTCGGGGAGGCTGGCAGAGTTAAGGTCATTATTTTGGACCCTGGGTGTGAGTGTGCGGTTGAGTTGAGGTGATTGTGTCGGGTGGATGATTTCTCAGAAGAATTGTCTGTTACCTCCTGTGACATTTATAATATAAACTAATGTTCCTTGTGTAGCAGTCACAGCAGAACACTGCAAAAATAGAATAAAGCAAACCTGTGATTCAGTTACAAAAACTAAGTAAAAGGCATTGTGTTCAAGAATTAGATGCATGAGGAACAACATGAAAGTGTGAATGTATCCCTTCACTCATTCTTGTTTTATATGCCTCTTATCTCAACTACGATTTTATATGCAATCTAGAAACAAAGCATAGTATTTTTTTTTAGGTAGTAGCAATATTAATGCTGTGATATCAGAAACCACCGTCGGTTAAAATCACTCCATTTATTTCCTCTTGGAGGTATATGTTACTACAGAGTCCGCACTGATTAAACAATCCTAGTTGAGACTGTGCTTCCTCCTTAGACATTCCCATCATCCACCGCTGATGTGACTTCTTTTTGTCCTCTCTGTGGCTTGAAGCCAGAGCGCTCTTTTCAATTTCTCTCCACATGAAAGTAACAAATAGCCAATGAGAGTCCAGGAGGGTGAGAGGGTTAAAGGTCAGCCGACAGGAAGTCCATGGTTGAAAGGAGGGAAATCTAAGGATGAGGAAAGGGGCTGGTGGGCTGAATCCCTGGAAAAGAAGCAAAAGAACAGTAAGATATTTGAAGAAGAAATATGTATGCATCATATTTCCTATATACAAACATGATCTATGCTCGAAATCCTTCTATTTCAGCCCTGTTAGAGAATGGCTGATTCTCTGCTGGCCCCGCCCCCTTTTGTGCAGGTCTGTGACGAGCTGTCTGCTCTGCGCATGATTAAACGTCATATCATGTTCCAAACCACTTCAAGGATTATTTCTGAAGCAGTTTGGAGCTAAAATGCTTCTTTTCTTGCGGGTTTACCACAAGGTGAGTTTTTATTTCTTGCTTTTTTACACATACTCTCTCCAGTACAGCTTAGCTCTGAGTGTTAGCGATGCTTGCTAATGTAAACAAAGACCATATTACGTCGGGCATTGTTTTGATAGTGACGTTTCTGATAGGGCCGTGGGTGTAAAGCCAGCCCACATTTCCAATATTACGTCATATCGGATGCAAATCTGGATCAGCTCTGTTGTACCCCCATTTTTAGAGATTTGGGTATGGAGGAAAAGAGAGGGTTTTATTTTCTGACACTTTGTGGGTTCCCTGACACACCGGGGACACATATTTATGTATAAAAGACATACAAAAAATGCATTTTGCATGATAGGTCCCCTTTAATGCTTTGGAGTGAGCCATCCCTGAAAGGAAGTTTTACAAACAGTATAATACTAGTAATATCATTTATTTTAGTTCATTCAAATAACAATTTTATAAATTAAGCTACTAAGCTTCAAACTATTCAGTCCAAAGTAGAAAAAGTAGTACCTTTGAACGGTGTGACTCAGATGTGTGTCTCTACGTCAGTGTAGCCTGGCAGGATGTCTCCGTTGGAGCAGCTCTTCTGCTCCTCCGCTGGTGAAGCTGCGGGAAGCATGTGGGTGGAGGTCTCGTCTGGTGAAGCCGCTGCCTGCAGCCTGCGGTGAATCAGGGGCACGAAGAACAGCACCACCCCCCCCACTATGGGAGGCACCCCAGCAAGGGAGAAGGCCACGGTGTAGTCCCCAAAGTAATCGTGTAGGAGACCTGAGCCATGGAGGCAGGGGGACACAGGTAATGTTATTGTGTCTTACATATATACATATAAGATTATTGATGTAGCAACTGTGACGTCAACTATTGGTATTTGGACTATGGTTTTGTCTCGAGTTTACTATTTTGCCATCTTGCTTTAAAGCTGTCACCATCTTGTTTTTTTTAACCAGCAGTGACAAGAGAGGGCGGAGTACAACTGACACCGAACAAGACATTTTTCAGACAAACAAAATGTTACAATGAAGTGAAAACACACCATGAAAGGGTTTAAAAAACTGGGACTCAAACTTAACAACTTCCAAACTGGACAACAACATGGTGACAACTTGTCAATCATAAGGTAGCCACAGCCTAAAGCATACCATGATTTGTGGTGTCTTTTACTCCTAATGGAACTATAATTTACTAAATGTGAGACCACTAAGTCATTAGAGAAATGTTTACTGAGGTGATAAAGGAAGAAGGAAGGTCAGATGCTCATAGACTTCTATGAAATCAGATCATTTTTTGCAACCAGTGGAGTGCCCCCTGTAGGCCATGACACAGAAAGCAGTCTTGAGGCACTTCTTCATTGGTATCACTTTTCAGACCCAGAACTTTCTTGCTAAAAGGCTTACTTTGCCAATAAAGAGTTAAAGCACTTAATGGACTGTATGAAAGACAAATTGTATATTTCCCCAAAATGACGACGTATTCCTCTAAAGGTGATGTAAAACCAGTTTAAAGAGTTGTATTTGCTGGCCTCTTGTGGTTGAATGTCTCACTTTGCTGCAGTTATGTAGAAGTGTGCTCCAGTGTGAGTCAGCACACTGTGACATCATGAATATACAGAAATCTCCTTGGATTTGGCAGGCAAATGTTTTTAGTTCATATTTGCACTAGAGCCTATTTAAAATGGTCTCAACCTGCCAGTATTAATATTAGTGACACCACAAGTTCTGGACACAATAGTCCTGTAATATATCTTAACATTGGAATTCAACAGGGAGATTGTAAGATTGTAATAACATCATGCACTAAAACCTCACCCTGTCTGTAGTACGTACATGCACATGCTATATTTATCTGCATGTGAGCTAAGGCAAACAAACTACCAACAGATCTAAAGCAAGGTCAACCAGTTCACCACAGTGCACTTCATGTTTAATGTGCCGCTTGTTACGTGAGAGCGGGGGGAGGGGAGGGCCCTGACATTATTGCATGTAACGTATGCATTCTTGCTCATGAACTGAACAGCCTGTACAGAACAACAGGAACCTAGCTGCCTTTGTTTGGGATGTAGAGTAAATGTATGGCTATATAATACTTAACAAAATGTAATAACTAAGTAAAATGTGTAATATATATATATACTCCAGATTACAATAGTCTGCATCATAGCAATTACAGGTTGTTCAGAATATACGGCTGCATCTGCGGCTCGTTTAATGGGAAACTGAAACCATATGTCACTAAACTGTACTCTATATCTGAGGGGGTTTCAATCCTTACTAGTCTCTAAATGCAGATGGGCTGGTTCTAACAAGGGTATACATTTTTTAGGCAGTAAATGATCAGCAATTTTAAAGAGGGGTCAAAGTAGTTCCATTTGTTTTAAAAAGAAAATAACAAAATAGGAAACTGGAATTTAATCAGCATCTATTGTTTGCCTTCAAAAATAGACTATTTTATCCACATATTCCTGCTAACACAGAGAACAACAAAAGACTATGTTAAAGAAAGGAATGTATGCTATACTTAATCGCTGCAACTAACCATTATTTTCTTTATCAGTTAATCTGCATTTCTTGATTCATCAATAATTTGTTCCATATACTAAAATGTAAAAAAATAGGGAAAAATTCCCACAGGACGAGGAGAAACTTTAAGATTGTTTTTGTTTGACGAAATAATCAGAAGTTTGAGATTTATTTTCTGTAAATACCTAATCAACTAATTGTCTTCCTGGTTTTTCTTCTATATCAGCATTGAAATTCCATAGCATAGCTTTCGATACATAAATAAAAAATATCAATACATGTCCAAACTTGTCCTCGTGAACATTTCTTTTGTTTTTGTTGAATGAGTCTACTTTTATGAATCAAACAGCTTGATAAATACGGACAAATATCCAAAAATTAATAAAAAACCTCCAGTGTGCTGAGCTGAGGCCAGAAAAGGAAGGGCAAAGTGTTTGTAGTATAACCGTCTACATTATGTGTGAGATCGGAAAGAGGTTGGAAAGAGAGAGCCCGAGGATGCATGAGTCATTAAATTAATGGCCTGGCTTGGTACTCTTCTATACACTTGTGTTATTAGAGTGAAGAGAAGAGAGGGGATATAAGAGGAGGTGAGTAGTGCGATCTGACCCTGTGTGTGCTTTTTTCTCCTCAAGACAAATCCCTAGAGACAGCCTGCAGTTGGCCACAAGCCCAAACCTCTATACAAATACAATCTGTTGTACAATCTATCCTGCTCTGCATTAATCTTACTCTCCCTGAACTCCCCAAACACTGTTTGACTCTGCTATATCAATCAGCTGTTGTGCTCTGTTTACTGCCAACATCCTGAAGTAAGTGCAAAGAGCCAATCACTGCGACTTCGGTTCTGGGTCATTAATAAGTGCTGTGTTTTTTGCTTCATCACCAGCGATGGGTGGACCCCGCGGTCATAGGAATAGACATGAGGCCGAGGAGGTAGCCTATGGCCTGCGAGGCTGCATGGGCCCGACCAGCTCGAACGCTATGGGAGCCATCATGGTGAGGAAGCAGCCATTCACACAGCCCCAGGAACACACACACAACCACCAGCCCCTCAAACGCCGAGCACTGAGGGATCAGGATGGACATCAGACCCAGAGCTATGAAGGACACCACCTGAAACAGAAAAAAAGAGAGACTCAAAGCTTGTGAGTGTGTCAAGTCTGTTTCAAAGTCCACAGCTTCCAGTGGGTGTTTTTTCCTGGGTATGATTTCTGGTAGTGCTTACAATGGAAATATGTTATGGGATATTTTAGTGGGCTCAGTATACAGGCCTTGTTTTTAAACATTGTGTTACTTGTGAGTGCATCCTCCAGCTACTGTAGGACTTATGATAAGCAGTACTGATTTATTTGTGAACCGCTAGCTACACAGAGGGGATGTAAATGCAAACTGCCTAGTACTCTGATTAGATATGACGAATGTATATACTGGTATGTTTATTTGGAACTGCCTTTATTTTTGTTGTTTTTGTTCCCTGAGAAGTTTTTTAACTGTAACACGAAGTTATGTGGAGATTATAACTAAGCTAAAGGAACATAAAGCTGAGGAATTGACATACATCTCAATCACACCATCTGTTTTATGGGCTGAGCGAGGATTTAAATTCCCTGCTTTGTATTTTTGTGTGCAGCTGCTGAGAGCACCCTGCCTGTTTGCACGGATCCAAACATTCAGCTAATACTGTTGCATTACAATGAGCTCAGAGCTCTAATACGGTGAAATGTGAAGGAGGGCTCTGTGCCCTAACAGTGAACTTCACACTGTTACCTACAAATCTTTAACAATTACAAAGCTGTACAACAAAGCACCCTATAAATAGAAGTTGCTAAAAACATTTAGCCTTATATAAAAAAAACTCAATGCCTCAATTATACCAGCAGGAGAGAAGTTGTATTGCCATTACTGTAAACACTGTCTCTTTTTAACTAGAAACATTTTCTCTGCACTATCTAAATGTCCAATAGTGCCAAAGAAACAGTCAAAACATATGCTTTTATGCTTTATAAGCATTTTCAGCATGCAAGAGAATTCTGTTGTTGTCTCTCGCCTGAACAACACACTTGATAAACAACATGCAGATTAAGTTTGGTGCTCCTGGCCAACAGTTCAACTGCTTGCATTCAGCAGAAGCTCCACATACACTAGTAGAGAAATGATAAATCCTGTTTGTATTCCACTCTCACAACTGCTCTGAATTGCTTTGTATTTCGGTTTTCTCAGGACTGATTAATCTCCGCTATTTTTCAGGACAGGCGTCCTCATAGCAACACGAAAGCTGCTTTATATTCTGCTACTGTGTTATAAGAATCAGTCATATTTATCTATAGCCTAATAAGCAATTAAAGACACTGAATCTCTCTGATTGTGATTGGTAGTTTACAGAGATGCTTTATGAGAAACCAATGTGAGTTTGGAAAATTGCACAATATAAATCTATTCTAGTAGACCTCAACAATGGAATTATGATCAGTGGATATGGCCATGACATGGGACCTTTAAAGTTCTAGCTAGTACCGGTTTCATTCTTGACTCAATACTCCATGCCCACATACCACGTATAACTGCATCACATTAAACCAGTGGTTCTCAAACCTTTTTCTGTCAGGCCCCCCCTTTGGAGAAAAAAAAAAGTCGGGCCCCCCCAACACAAATAGTCAGGCTCAGTGGCGGCGCCAGATATTTATTTTTGGGTGCTGTGGGGTAGCTTGACGTTTCATAGAGGGTGCTCAAACATTTAGGGTTTCCCGTTAATGTACCGGTCGCTACAGTGGAATTTTCTACTGCAACACTCCCCACGCAAATACACAGTGTGACAGTTACAATGAAGGCTCGAGGCATATAGGTGTAAGCAGGGGTAAAGTGCTATTTTTATAGGTGGTGTGTGGACCTCACATTGGGGGGTCCGGGGGGATGCTCCCCCGGGAAGATTTATTTTTAAAGGTCACATGTCATGGCCATTTCCACTGATCATAATTCCATTGTTAAGGTCTACTAGAATAGATTTATACTGTGCAATTTTCCAAACTCACATTGGTTTCGCATACAGCATCTCTGTAAAGTATGTGTATTCACTCTCTCCACTAAACGGCTCGTTGCAGCCAGGGAGGAGAAATCAGCAGAGCTGCTTGCACTGAGTGTGTGAGGAAGTCCGTGGATTGGTCAATTTGGACCAATCAGCGGGGGCTTAACGTAACGGCTCCGCGGACGTAACGTAACGGCTCCACGGATTGGTCCATTTCGTTCCGGGGACGACATGACATCATGATGTCCCCGGAAGAATCAAATGGACAGTGACGTATCTCCAACGAGGCGTTTTGGGGAGGTATTTTCTGTTTTAGAGTTTTACTCCCTACATGGTGTACTTTGAGGGTTTTGACTCTGCACACCGTTTACATGCATAAAAACCTTCATAACACACAAGGGGACGGGTAATAACCGGAAAAGCATGACATGTGACCTTTAAATATTGAAGTTAAAAAGCATCAATCTGGTGCACTTTGAGAGCAAAATGAAGAGATCTATGGATACATCTCTCAACACCCATTTGAAACAGAACTGTAAACAGATTTACTTTTTCTTAATGGATATTTTACAAATCACCCTTTTAAACTTTATTCTTTTTTTACTGTGTAGTGGCAATTTCTTTATCTTACCTTATATGCTAAAACCAAATGCTTCTAAAAACATTGTCTAAAACAACTATATCATTTCCTGATATGTGCCGTTTTCTCTTCATACTCTAATGAGGGTTTTTATTCCCAAGCGCTTCAAGGCCACAGAGCTGATTTGGCAGACTATGTTGAAACTACTCCTCTTCACACAAAGTTGTAACTCCCATAACAATATGAGACCGTGTGAAAACAGATTTCTGAGGAAACTGTCTGCCCGCCCTTTCTTGTATATAAGCTTTGCTATTTTGTGACTATTGCGCACACTCCTGCAGACTATCCTATACTCTGTGAGACCTGTGTCTTTGAATATATTCAAATAAATAACCAGAAAGACAACTGTTTGTTGCAACCATTTATTGTTTGATCATTCTGATCGTGTATCTCCACAGTATTGTTTCCGTAACACTGTCATATAGTATTTCATACCTGTTTTTCATTTATTCTCTTATTTTTTATACCTATAATGAATCATATAAACGTGTGCCTCGGAAATAATTGTTTACATTAATGGTGACCAAAACGTTTGAGACCCACTGAGATAACTTAGACTAAAGTTAACTATCTACCGCGGGGCACTCAGTCGTGTTCTAAAAATAGCTCGCCAAGCAAATCCAAAATGTATAAAATACACAAAACAAAAAAGGAAATTTAATTAAAAGAATCTACCCTATGCATAAACGTAGAAAAAGTTCGAGAACCACTGCCTTAACCTATTCGGGTGGCCCACGCATCCAACCCCCCCCCCCTCAAATGTTCATTGCTTCATGCTACTGTAGACAACGTTCTTGTTGCTCTGTGTTGCGTTGTTAATGAGTGAGACACACCGGAGTTGAGGATCTGTGGGGTTTTATTCTCCCAAAAATAGAATTTACAATTTAGGCATTTAGCAGACGCCTTATTCCAAAGCGACTTACAATGACCAATTACAGGCACGTTCTCCCTGGAGTAACTGAGGGCTAAGTGCCTTACTCAAGGGCACACTAGTAGTGGTGTTCCAGGCGGGATTTGAACTCGCAACCTTCCGATCATCATTTCCGAAATAAATGGATTTTTTTTTTTAAATCATTGTCGCGGCCCGCCACAATTAAATCAATGTATGGGAAACACTGACATTACACATTACTTGTTAGAGACGCTTTTATCCAAAGCGACTTACATACTCAATACTGTGGACAATCCCCACAGGAGCAATTTGGGGTGAAGTGTCCTTGCCCAGGGACACAACGACATGCTGACTGCAGTGGGGTTTGAAGCCACTGTGCCACACACCTCCTTCATATGTTATGGCCTCTAAACATTTCCTCACCTGCATGTAGATTTTTTGCAGACCAGAAAAGGAGGTCTCCAATCTTGCCGAAAGCAAGGCGTCCCACCCCAGATGAAGCTCCTATGCAGACCAGGAGAACCCACTCCTTCTGGGTTCCCTTGAACTGCTGCTTCACAAAAACTCATCTAAGAGACACAGAAAAGGCATGATTGAGGATTGGCCGTATGTTTAGGGGTTAAATAGTAAGTGTGCTGCACAATGACTTATTAGAAGCTCCTAACAGTGGGTTAACACATATCCTGCTTGGGAAATGTTTTCATATGTTTATGTGCTTTCATGCTTAAGAAGATATTTAAGTAAATGGGTGGTGTGCATTTGTCGGGGTGGAGGACCATCCATAACCCCAAAGCAAAGGTCTAACAATAACAAAATGTCTTCACCCAGAGACCTTTGGAACAGCAGGGGCAGACTCTCCCACTCCCCCCAGCCCTAACCACATAAATCAGAAACTTAAACCGCCCTCTGAAGTCTTTCAGAACTTGCGGAATATTGCTCTGCTTTGAAGGGCTCTACATTCATCAATGGCCATAGGATAGGCATGTTTAGGGACACAGAGAGGCCATACAGGAGAAGGTTTCCTGAGGTGGTAGAGCCAATACAAAGAACCGGGGCTGTGTTTTACATCTGGGCCCGGCCTGAAACAACAGGCCCTGACGGAGGGAGGGCCGGAGCGGGAACATCCGACATCTGGAAAGAGGGAGATCAACTTCACAGCTCCACGCTGCAGCTTTACACTTCATCCTCACCCGTCACTATCTCACTATTTCACACCAGTAGGCCAGAGATCAGATTTTGTAAAATACCCTGAATATTGGATTCTAAGCATAATGGAAACCCAAATTGTAACATTGTGATACTGTCCAATGTTAATCACAATTTCCCTTGTTGCAGTCAAAAAGAAATCATTATTTTACACATATTGTCAATACCTTTTTATATTAAAAGGGAACCAGAAAATGCCTTTGGAGATTTATCAGAAAGCTCCTTCTACCTCAAGTCACTTGGAGGGGCATGTTATTGTTTGACTGAAAGCAGCTGGCAAGCTGAGTGCAGGCAGGGGAACAAGAAACAATGTAAACAAAACGTTTGCTGTAGCTTACAAAACATGGGAGCATGTTGTTAGCAGTGGTACTGGAGATCAAAAACCACACCAGTGGCCGAACAGAACAAGCTGAAATTTGTGGTAAAAGTTGCATGAGATTGGATTAAGTAAATAAACCAGGTGAGTTAAAGTTTTGGCTTCCCATAAGCATTTGAACTTTGTTTTTTCCCGATTATATATTGCTTGGTAGCTCTTCCAACAATCTAAGATGACAAACGTAACGTCATTGTGTGTTTGTGTTAATTTCGTCAGACTCATACCTATACAACCCTGCCTGATCTACCCCCATTATGCTTTTCACATACCAATCAAATAATGGTAGTATCCATATACAACTTTCCATGTCTTGATTTGAGATACCTCAATTGAAGCTAGGAGAATGCCCCTTATCGTTCTTACCAGATGGACGTATGGCACGAAGTAGCCGAGTACAGCTGTAGCTACTCCAAACGCCCACACTCGGTACGTCACGATGTGAAACACCCGCAGGTTGAATGACTTCCTGATCCCCACCGAGGAGCCTGCTCCACCTGCTGCCCCCCTGAGCGGTGGCCATTGACTGGGTTTTGGATTTTCCAGGGCCAGGACCCATGCCTGGGGGTCCCATGCCTCCCCCAGCAGGCAGTAATGGTTTGAACAGCAGGGCCAGCAGGGCCTGGACCAGCATGAAGAGGCTGAGGATCTGGAAGGTCCTGCTGAGGCCCAGAGGTTCCACCACCTTGTTCAGTAAAACCGGGAGGCCCATGGAGAAGAGGCTGGCACCGGCCGTCACCACGCCATTGACCAGACCCAGGCGCTGGCGGAAGTAATGGCCGAGGATGACCAATGAGGGCTGGAAGGCAAAGGAGGAGCCACAGCCGAACAGTATGCCATATGTGAAATAGCGAAGGCTCAGGAGCTACAACAGAAAAGAAAAGAAAAAGGTGAAGTAAAAAAAGAATAATGCAGTTACTATTTTACCATTTGTTTTGTTTTACCATTTATTTATTAATTAGAGGATTAAAGGATGGAGGGTTTTGTTTGCTGTACATTTTAAGGCCCTTTTGTGATTTTAGATTATAAACTGACTTAACAATACTTGCCATGTAAGTTTAAGCAAGTTCTGTAATATTCTGTAAAGTTAAAGGCATGGAGGTGGAGATTTGAACCTCATACTGCATTACAGCTTTAACAGGTGCAGACCCAGTTTGTACCTGATTTCATTTGAGTCGCAGAATAAGCAATTGCTTTTCTGAGAAAAAACTAACAAAAAAAGAAACGTAGAAGATTATTTTAAGCGTTTAGTGACCAACTTCTAATCTTTTCATCATCATGATTATTTATTTGTCTACTTTGTTAGGGTAATGTCTTGAATAATAAATGCACAGTAGCTTACTTTGCAAAGGATGTACTTAGCAGCCCTATAAAAGCCACCAATGCCCCACTGACGGCTGTCTTCCTGCAGCCGAAGCGGTCTGTGAACATGCTGACCACAGGTGAACAGAAGAAGATCATGCCCATGGCCAAGGCCCCGACCCAGGCTGGAAAGGAAGTGGAGAGGAAAGAGAATTCAATCAGAAACATGTGGAAACCCTGTGTGTTGTAGCTATCGCCTAAGGTAAATAAAAGACAATCTTGTTCCCTTTTGATCACCAAGAAAGGATCAAAGTCCATGTAACAGGAAATGTATGCTGTAAATCAAAATGTATAGATATACAGGATACAGTTCCATGTAATACGACTGACACACAGTTACAATATTTAGGGATTCCTTTTTCAGGGATGGAAACAATTCACAGGTTCATTTTGCCAGACGTTATCTTTCAACAGTTTTTATATTTCCCACATTTGTTGCAGCTGGAGAATTTGCCTTGAAGCAGTTTTTGTATCATACTGGTGTTATAAACCGTTATTACATGAGAATACAACATACAGTTGTTTTAATAGAAAGATGACCAAATTGAAGGTTTCTCTATAGTTGTATAATATGTATCCGCTTTTTTCCCCTATAGAATTGCATGATGCCCCGTCATCTCAATGGGGGACACAGTCAAAGGTAAAAGTGCATTTCGTATTTTATTCTCCCATTGCCTCACGGGCATTTCATGATTTACACAACATTAAAACCTTGATGTCATGAAAATGTCATATTTGCAAAGGCTTTGAACTACTTTGTGTGCACTCGCATATTGTCTTTCTTTCCGAGTCCTTCCCCCATCTGATGTAATTAGCTATTGATATAAATTCATGGAAGTGTTTATTGTGCCTTCACTTGCATCATGTGCATCAGACACACTCTAAGATTTCTCATGGTGATTAATAGAGGATCAAAAAGAGGATCAAACTGGACAGATCTGGCCTGTGGTGTAATATCCATCCAGTGTTAAAACATAACGAGCCAGTATGAGCCAACAGGGACACTGCGTACCCTGAGGAGCAAACAAACAAATGTCTGGGTCTCCGGTGGAGCAAAGGTAGCTTTAATGTCTACCGTGGTGTCTGGGCTGTACTGTAGGTCACTCTGAACAAACACACACACTACATTTAGCTGACGCTTTTATCCAAAGCGACTTACAATAAGTGCGTTCGACCAACAAAATACAAACTTGAAGAAAACAGAATCATATAAGTACATCAGGTTTCATAGAGCAAAAACATTTCAAGTGCTACTCAACTGGCTTTAGGTAAGCCAGTCCTTTATTAGTATATAAGTGCTTTGTTAATAGTTCTATTGCTCGAAGTGGAGTCGAAAGAGATGAGTTTTCAGTCTGCGCCGGAAGGTGTGTAAGCTATCTGCTGTCCTGATTTCAATGGGGAGCTCATTCCACCATTTTGGAGCCAGGATAGCAAACCCACGTGTTTTTGCTGATGGGAACTTGGGTCTCCTTCGCAACGAGGGTGCAGCGAGCCGTTTGGTTGATGCAGAGCGGAGTGCACGTGCTGGGGTGTACGGTTTAACCCTCTGGAGTCTAAGGGTATTTTCTCGATTTTTAGATGTTTTCTTAAATCACCTTTTAAAATGTATTTCTTCTAACATGGCACCCCATGTGTTAAATATCAAAATGTTCAGGACAATCTCTGGTCTTGCTATATATGCAAATTACTCACCTTAGAGCACTGTTTGATGAGATAAGTAGCTCAAAAGCTTAAAATTTGACATCCGATTTTCGGAAAATCTTCAAAACTTTTGTGAAAACACAAATTTACTCATGTGATCGAATTGTTTTGGTGTTTTATATTAGGTTACCAAAGTCTTAGGATCACAAAAGCAGTGAAATATTTGAATTACACTGTATATAAATGTGTTATTCATGTCTAAAATAAAAAAATTAAATTCGAATTTTGAGTAAAATAGGTTGTTTATCACTCTACTTTCACCACAGCAGGGGCTGAGCTACATTAGGACTGAATAATGACTTCATATTACATACCAAGGTTCATGTGATGTGTACAAATACAAATTGAGCATTCAACCTTTTTTTTTCAACCAACAATTTATTATAATATGTTTTTTTCAACCAACTATTTATATAAATATAAGAAACTGGAAAATCTAACTATTTACAATATTGAACATCAGAACATTCAACCAACTATTCATTATAAATGTCAAGACAGTGTCAAGGTCTTTGTCTGTCTTCCAAGACAGTGGGTCTGGCTGCTGTGAAGATGGGGGTGATGGTGCATGGGCTGCAGTGTAGGTGGGGTTGTACAAGTGCTATACGAGACCTCCACGAGACCTCCTTGCTGGCTGGGTTGAAGGTGAGGCTGTGGTGGAGCCTTTGTGCTGAGGTGTATCTTGACCTGGTGGCAGCCGCAGATGGAGGTCGAGGCAGCTGTAGTGATGCTGGTCTGCTGGTCCTTGGTGGTGATCGCTCTGGTGAAGGCCCTTGAGCCACGGTAGATCTTGACCTGGGGACGGCACAGATGGATGTTCTGGCTGCTGGATAAACGCCGCCTGTGGGCCACTAGGCCCAGACAGCTGTGAAACCTCTCTGTAAAATAAATTAAAAGGTAGGACAAGAATTACAACGAATTTCATTGAAATAAAGTTCAAGTAAAATGTTGCTCAAGCACAAATAACAATGCACACAGAAAAAGAAAGTTGGGGAGGGGGATGGGGAGAAGCCACACACACACACACACACACACACACACACACACACACACACACACACACACACACACACACACACACACACACACAACACACACCCACACACACACACACACACACACACCACACACACACACACACACACAACACACATCACACACACACACACACACACACCACACACACACCACACACACACACCAACACAACACCACACACACACACACACACACACACACACACACACACACACACACACAACACAACACACACACACACACACACACACACACACACGTATTCCAGTTACTTTACATTCAGTATAAAATCACAGACACACATAGGCTACATCTGATTACAAAGTCTCATCTGTACAGGACGGTAAAAATAATAACAGGCACACATATAAATAAATCTATGACAAAGTCTCATCTGTACAGAACAGTATGATAAAATAATCGATGGCAAAAACATGTCACTGTAAATGTCTCCGTTGTGGGACGAATAAATGATTAATTTAATCCTCTACACATGTAATCTCACTTTTACACACCAAAATAACGTTAACACAGAGTAAACATTTGCTAATGGAGAGTCTATTTTGTCCAATAAAAAGTTCATGACAATCGATAAAAAATATATATCAATAAACCTATTGTTCATTTTCGCGGTATTCCCCACACATTGCCAGTACACTATTACTGTAATATTTACACTTACCCATGCCCAAATGGATCCTTGTTGTTGTCTTTGTATTCTTCTTCTTCAGAAGAGTCAAAGACTTCACGTTCTGAGGCTCTATCTTCACTGCTGCTAGCGAAAAAAATCTCAAGCGAAGTCGGCAACTGTAAAGTTTTAGCCATTTTCTCTGTCTCTCTCTCGCTCTCCTCAAAGACGTAAACTGATGGGAGACACGTGGTTTATGTTTTGTTTACTTGGTGGGTAGGTCCTTAGTGATTTCTCGATGTCCATTGGTCATTTCAGACCATGATGGCTGCCGGCCGAGATTTCCTTGACGGACACACGAATCCACCAATCCACAGTGTAAAGTCAAGCTGCTTTGAGCGGCCATATTGGCTGCTGTGCCCTGGTTACAGTCTCACAGGAGATACCGCTGGAAAGCTACTCTTCCAGTGATTCCGCGGATATCTGAATCATATTTCTACTCCTTATAATCGAAAATATATGATTAATTACGTAAAATTATGCGACTCCTGGATGTAGGAAGGGCCAGATCCATTCGCAGCATGGTACGCAAGTACCATTGTCTTGAAGTGGATTCTAGCAGTTACCGGAAGCCAGTGGAGGGAGCGGAGGAGCGGCGTGGTGTGGGAGAATTTAGGAAGGTTGAAGACCAGACGAGCCGCTGCATTCTCGATGAGCTGCAGAGGTCGGATGGCACATGCAGTAGTCTAGGCGTGAGATGACGAGAGCCTGGACCAGAACCTGCGTCGCTTTCTGGGTCAGCTGGGGACGTATCTTCCTGATGTTGTAAAGCGTGTATCTGCAGCAGCGGGTTGTAGAAGCTATGTTTGCAGTGAAGGACAGGTTGTTATCTAGGGTCACACCCAGATTCCTTGCAGTCTGAGTCGGGGAAACAATAGAGGTGCCGATGTTGATTGTTAGGTCAAGAGTGGGACAATCTTTTCCCGGAAGGAAAAGCAGTTCAGTCTTGTCAAGGTTGAGCTTGAGGTGATGAGCAGACATCCACTGAGAGATGTCAGCTAGACAAGCAGAGATGCGTGCGACGACCTGGGTCTCTGAGCGGGGAAAGGACAGAATTAATTGGGGGGTCGTCAGCGTAGCAGTGGTATGAAAAACCATGCGGGCTAATGACAGATCCGAGCGAGTTTGTGTACAAGGAGAAGAGGAGGGGACCAAGAACAGAGCCCTGAGGGACCCCTGTAGTTAATTGACAAGGGTCGGACTCAGACCCTCTCCAAATAACCCTGTAGGTGCGGTCTTTGAGGTATGAGGTGATGAGGGAAAGTGCAGAGCCTGAAACTCCAAGTTCTTGGAGAGTGCGAAGGAGGATCTGATGATTCACCATGTCAAATGCAGCAGACAGGTCCAAAAGGATGATGACAGAGGAGAGGGAGGCTGCTTTAGCAGTGTGCAGTTCCTCAGTGACAGCAAGGAGGGGCAGTTTCTGTTGAGTGACCTGCCTTGAAACCAGACTGGTGCGGATCCAGAAGGTTGTTCTGATAGAGATAACAGGAGAGTTGTTTAAAGACAGCGCGTTCAAGTGTTTTAGACAGGAACGGGAGGAGAGAGACAGGCCTGTAGTTTATAAACATCAGACGGGTTTGAGAGTGGGTTTCTTTAGGAGAGGGTTTACTCTTGCCTCCTTGAGACTGTTTGGAAAGTGACCAGAAGTTAGAGAAGTGTTGATGAAATGGGAGAGAAACGGTAGAATATCAGGAG